GGTAAATGCTAGTGTAAACTTACTCTTAATGAAATTTTCCACACATTCTTTTTTCCTCACAGTCCTCACATATTAAATAGTATCATCCATGAGTTAATTTTTAGGTTTGAAAATACTGAGGCTTCTTCAGCCCAATTCCTATTGCCTACCTGCTGTCATGTTTCTGGTTTCATGAAATTCGCAGTTTTTCATGGTAGTCACAAGTACTTATTTTTTGACCCCTCTTCTGGTCTTCCACATTTGATTCCTGTCGAGTTGATGTTGGAAAGCCCTAACAAGAACCTTTTCTATTTTGCTGATCCTTTTCTAGTCTGGTTTTTCAGTCACTCAGAGATGATTTCAGTCACATCAGAGATTACAGGTGGGCTTGTGGCCTTAGCAGTAATCATCGGCACTCCAGAGGTGAGAGAAGCTTCTTGTGGTTTGGAATAAGTATTGCTCACAGCCCAAAGATGCTGTTGTTTGTGCTTAACTGAATCAGTTCATTATTCTGACTTCCCATTTTAATTTGTGTTCAGAAATTGGGTAGTTTTCTTTTTCTCATAAATAATTTGGATCTTTTTGAGTTTCTTGTTCAGAGAATGGAAAGAGAAGGTATCTAATCTTATTTTCCTGAGAATCTGAGCTAATTCTTGGTCTTTAATTGACCCTCTTTACATTCTGACATTCCCTCTTTAATTCTGATTTCCTGATTTTCTTAACTCTTTTCTACCCCCATATTTTTGGGTGATGTTCCTGACTGTATATTCAGCAGCTAGAAGGTTTTTCTTTATAAGATTGGTAATCTGACCTGTATATGGGTACATAGTGCAGAAATAAATTTTCTGTGTTTGTGAATTTTTGCAAGATTAGATACTTGACCATTTTCAATAGTTCAGCTGAAGGGTGGAGGATTACAACTAATTTGTTTATAGAATTCGTGATGGTGGGGGCACCTGGGTGGCTCAGTTGGTTAAGTATCCAACTCTTGATTTTGATTCAGGTTATGATTTCAGGGTTGTGAGATCGAGCCCTGAGCCAGGCCCTGTGCTCAGGGAGCAGTCTGCTTGAGATTGTCTCCTTCTCCCTCTGCCCCCTCCCCCTCAGATGCATGCGTCCTCACGTGCTCTCTTGCTCTCTCTCTCGAATAAATAAAATCTTAAAAAAAGAATTCATGATGGTAATTATGTTCTTAAGAAAATCAGGTGTTCAGAATGTTATTAGATAATTGGAAAGTTCTGGGTAAGCTGAAAGTTTTATGCCTTTGAATAAATCCTCCTAATTGATGGTCTAGCATGCGGCAAGTTATTTACCTGTCAGTGCATTTGTGACCTCCTCTATAAAATTAATGTTGGACAGTATTGCTTCTGAATTACAAAATTGCATTTCATCAGGGAACACATATCAACATCACCAAATTCTTCTACTCTGAATCAGGTTCACCTGATTATCAGTGCATTTGAAACTTGTGCACCAAGCCCATTTTTTCACTCAAGTAGGAAAAGCTGCCTTGGGCTGATAACCTCAGTGTTGAGAGACAGTTGGAGTTACCCTTTTTGAATGTCCCTAGCTTGCTGAAGTCTGCTGGACTATAAGCTGTGTAAAGGTAGGGGCCTTGCCCATCTTGCCATCTGTTCTATCCCTAGTCTCAGGTTGAGTGCCTAGCACACGGATAAGTGCTCATTATTAGTTAAATATCGGTTGAATGCCAACCCTATGGCACTCACATACATTGATGCAATCTTCACAGCCAATCTTATCATTGCCAACTCTGTAATATAAAATATAAGCCAGCCTCTGATACAGAAACTCAGTTTTGTAGATGAGTAAGCTGACGTAGATGCATAACCACTTGTTCAAAGCCCCTCAGCCAGGCATAGGCGCTGCCTCCAAACAAAGCCATTCTAAATTTCACCATTTTAACCACTTTGCAGTGTACAGTTCTGTGGCGTTAAGCATATTCATAGCCATCACCATCATCTTGGCCTGTGCTTTTTTCCTCAGTTACACTGCCTGCCTTTGTTCTTCAGGGTGCTTTTGGTTTAATCTGAAATCAGATTAAAAACTTTTTTTGAGCAAAAACACTGGAGGAACCTGGAAGTTTAAACTTTCAGACTGGGCTGAATACGGAGTCTATGTTCTTCCTTTTCCCATTTCCTCAGCCAGTTCCTTGTCATGTAGAATTTCTTGTTGGCTAATAATAGCTGAGTATGTTGATTTGAACGGGAATACATGCTCTCATATCTCCTTGTTCTCACACTGAATTGGAGCTGTTTGGTCTATTTCTGCTGTTGCTTGGCCCAATAAGGCAGTGATCTAAGTGGTCCAAGCGCCAGGAAGCTGTGTACCCACATTTTAAATTGTGTACCTGCCGAATGGGTTAGAGCACCACTGGGCTAAAGTCCACTCTTGGCCTTGTACTTGGGAAATTAATTTGCTTTGTCATCCTCCACTCCTGCTTCCTGCCAGGAGTCCAGTTCACTACTTTCGGTTTCACTTTGGGCTTTAAAAGTGTTTCTTAATCTTTCTGTGGCTGGATTACCTATATAATACAGGTACAAATAAATAGTTTTGTTGGCTTGGCTGTGGGATGAGTTGGGCTGTGTGAAACAAGATTTGAGGCCGCCAGATCTAAGTAGGATAGCTGAACGTGTTCATGTTTCTACTGCAGTGGTCCTTTCTGATATCAGGCAGAGCCAAGTGGTGAAATATGACACATGCTGGGGATGAGAATTGGCAATTGTCCTGAGTGCACAAATAGTTTCTTCCCTCCCAAGCATATTTTACAGCCAAGTGAACAGAAAACAATTCAGCAGGCTACTTGGAGTTCCTGCAGCAGAAAAATTATCTTTATAAAAGGGTGGACACATAGCTTTTACAAAAAGTTTTCAGAAGAACAAAATACAAACTAGGCTTACTTTTCTTTTCCTCATTTTATCCCTGATTCCTAAGTGTAAAGCTGATTCCAGATACACTCCTAGGGCCTGTTTGCGGGTGGTTAGAGGCTGGGCGTCCCCAAGTTTGACCAGCCACATATTCATTTTGGATCACAGTCAGCTGGTGAAGGAAGTTGCTGGGAAGACTTAAGTCCAAGATGGTCAAGCAAACAGGCAGTTTGGCCCTTGGCCCAGCTCTGCTCCATGTCAGTTTTATCCAGCACACACACACCAGGCAGGCAGTTGGTGGTGGTGTAATTCCAGCCACTACTGACTAATAGGACAGGCCACCATTGCGTGAGGCTTGACCTGAGGCAGCTGCTCTGAATATAGCCCTCCTTTGTGGCAGCTGCAACACCTGGGCTTCAGGCAGGCCCCTGGCAGAAAAGTATTTGCTGTTAATAGTATGTCTGTGGCACAGTTGTATACTGTCACAGCTTGTTTCCTGCTATGTTTATGCATAATTAAAAACAACCCACTGGATCCATTGGCTTATGGTTGGGTTATGTTTAGAAAAATGCAGCTTGTGTTGTCCACTTTGGGGGACTAGAGCTGATGTCACTAGTTTAAGTAAGACCTTAAGAGGAGCAGTTAATGTGATTCCTGGCAATTTCTTTGATCTCTGTAATGAACACAGCTTGCTTAGTGGCCTTTGGTTTCTGGCATGGATGAACGCGCTGTCAATCATGTGTTCCAGTTCAATTAGGGACTCTAGTTTGTGTGCTTGGTAGTTCCTTCTGACATAAGGGGGTTTATGAGTAATTAAAAAGAACACCATCATTTACAAAATGGTGCTTTCAAAACAGAAACTACAAACGGCTCCTGAACATGTAAAAGATACTTAACCTTTTGAGTAACAAGAGAAAACCATTTTAAGGCCTCGCTGAGATCTTATTTTTAACCTATCAGATTGACACAAATCCAAAACTTTGAAGGAACACTGTTGATGAGCAAATGGGGAAATAGACACTCTCATACATTCTTGGTGGGAGCAGTAAGTGTACAACTTTATTTTTTTTTTAAAGATTTTATTATTTGACAGAGAAATAGCAAGAGCAGGAACACAAGCAGGGGGAGTAGGGAAAGGAGAAGCATGCTTCCTGCCAAGCAGGGAGCGCGATGCGGGGCTCGATCCCAGGACCCTGGGACCAAAACCTGGGCAGAGGGCAGACGCTCAACGATTGAGCCACCCAGTGTACAACTTTATTGAGGGAAGTTTAGAATGTATCTGTTGAAACCACAAATCTATACCCTTTGGCTCAGCAGTAGTATCACTTAAAGGAATTTATTCTACAGGTAGACTTGCATGTATATAAAAACAGTGTTTGCTTAAGCTTATTTATGGAAGAATTAAAGATTGGATACAAGCTCAGAAGTGGACTGGTTACATAAATAATGATGTATCTGTACAAAGGATAGCTATAAAGAACAAGATATTATGTACTGACATAGGAATGTCTTCATGGGAATAAAGCAAAGGGCAGTGTATAATATGCCACTAATTGTGTAAAAGGGGGAGAAATAAGAATATATATTATTTGCTTGTATGTGCATAAGGAAGTTCTGGAAAGATATTGAAGAAAGTAATATGAGCAGTTACGTGTGTGTGTATGTGTGTGTATAGGAAAGAAGAGATAAGATTGCTGTTTTTCACTGTACAAAACTTTTGAACCATCTGCATGTGTTGCTTTTTCAAAAAATTAAATAATTAGAATGTCTTTTAAAATAGTTTTTTTGAATACCAGTCATGGTTGTAGAAGGAGCACTCTTTTAATTGACTTCCTTACCCATACTTGCTATCCCTGTGGGTACGACGGAGATTTCCTCATACTGTTGCCAATGGTGCTCGTGTTTCTTACTTTTTATGTGGGCACTTGGGAGGAAAGTGATGCACAAGTTTGTTGGTCTCGGTGTTTTTCCTGTTCCTCAGACAGAACCAGTGGCTCTAAAAATTTATATATCACGAGCCTAAGGTTCTATACCAAACCCTAAGAAACAGGCTTTTTCCATTTGTTTTGAGAACCAAGATAATAGACTCTGGACAGGACTAAAGTAAAATGTTTTGCCTTTTCTTTTTGTTTGTAGGAACCTACAAGCAGCAATTGGCGCCTATTACGACTTTGAGAGCCCAAACATCAGTGTGCCCTCTATGTCGTTTGTTGAAGATGTCACCATAGGAGAAGGGGAGTCGATACCTCCTGATACTCAGTTTATAAAGACATGGCGGATCCAGAATTCTGGTAAATGATAATGGGCAATTCTTCATTGCCCAGTTTTCTTTGTTTAGTAGTTAAAAGAAACAAGGAAATGTTTTAGGTTAAGTTATATGCTTTTGTAACTCTGAGCTTTATCTTATACATGATGTAGTACTATTTTTTTTTAAGATTTTATTTATTTGAGAGAGAGAAAGCATGAGGTGGGGGGGAGGGGCAGAGGGAGAAGCAGGCTCCCCACTGAGCAGAGAGCCCCACATGGGGCTCGATCCCAGGACCCTGGGATCATGACCTGAGCCGAAGGCAGATGCTTAACCGACTGAGCCACCCAGGCACCTGAGGTAGTACTTTTTTGTACTGGTGTGATGACCAAATAACAATGAAATGTCCCCTGCCCTAGATCAGGAAAAATAATTTAGATTTTTTTTTTTTTTAATTTAGGTCTTGATGGCCTCTAAACAATTCAGTACTCATTTGATACTAGGAACTAGGCCTGTGTGTGGTGGTGGTATTATCTCCACCTGTACAGTTCTACTCCATCATTTTAATTCTGCTCTAATTAATCTTCCAGTTCTTTCCAGCCGGCTAGAGTAGGTACATCCTTGAATAGAACAAGGTGGTTAGAAAGAGCTGTGAGCATCTGCTCTTTTGAAAGCTCTTTTCTTTGTAGCTGCAAGGATGATTCTTTATGAAATTTCATTGAGATATCTCTCTGAAATGTTAATACCACTTTGAAAAATAGGGTAAGAAATGCAGGGATTTGCTCAAAATGGGAAAGATGGAAAGATTAAGAAATTTTTTTGAGGCATTGTTGTAATGTACTGCTGACTTTAAGAAAAATTTTAAAAATAAGTTAGTGATAGTTCTTTGAAAAAAGGATCTGAATATGTATCTGGTAACAGTTCATTATTACCTTTTGCTTGTTAAATTCTTTTCTAATGACTTTTTTAATTTGAGTGGGTTTAGTATTGCTTGTTTCATGCAGTAATTATTCATGCTTCTGACTAGAGCAGGATGCTTTAACTTCCTTGTTACCGAGGACTTGAGAAATTCTGAGAGATGAGAAACTAGGCAGAAGGCATATTTAGCTAAAAATCTATGTGTGGGGGGGAACCCTGTCGAGCAAGGTGATCTGATGTGAAGTGATGTAAAACTCTCAGGGCTCAAATAAACTTGTAAAAATGACCTTTTATTGACTTTACTTTTTAATTCTTTGTACTTTAATTTTTTTATGATGGGGAAAGACTGGCTAAGCTAGCCGTTTATATAGTAATGAATGTACCAAATTGTTATTCTTAGTTTTTCTGATTTATTTAAAAATAACTCTCCCTTGGATGAAAGTTCAGTATGTCACTGAGGAAATGCCTATAATCTGGATTGACCCATGGTTGTAGATGACTGGAGACATTCATGGCTTTATAAAATTTTCATTGGTTTCTTTTCCCTTTTGATTGTAACGGTGTGGGGCATTGTTAGTTTGAGAGACACTTGGTAATATGGGAAAATAGCCATGTTTTCTGTTTTTCTTGAAATTCTTTTTTTTTTCAAAGCTTAATTATACTTCTTTCCTTTTTGGGGGGCCTGATTTCTTTCTCACTTTTCTTAATGTTGTGGGCTTTTAAAAATATTAAAACAATCTCTTTCTTTTTAAGATTTTAGAATTTATTTATTTGAGAGAGTGTGCAAGAGTGAGCACGCATGGGGAGGGACAGAGGGAGAGGATCCCAGGCAGACTCTGCACTCCGCAGAGCCCCAATCTCAGATGGATGTGGGACTTGATCCCATGATCCAAGATCATGACCTGAGTCGAAATCAAGAGTCAGATGCTTAACTGACTGAGCCACCCAGCCGCCCCTAAAACAATCTCTTTAGTTCAGCTTCTGTTCATCATGTTTTTTCTCTCAATTACCAAAACCTGCTAAGATGCTGATCAAAACTGCTTTTGAAACTTACACATGAATTCAATTTTATTTAGCTAAAAAAAATTAAGACCTTGTTTATAGCGAAAACACTAAAAATGGTCTGGCTTTCTGTGAATTCTTTATAGTATTTTTAAATATTAAAAGTTCTTAGAGTACCACTGAAATATTGGAGATAGCAGAAACCATTTTGTATGTCAGAAATCTTCTTGATACATCCGTTCACTCACCAGACAGTTCTTGAGTTAATGGAGGATTGGGAGGGATTGGTATAAAATGGCTAAATGTCAGATCAGAACCCCAAAGAGCCTACCTTTCTTTCACCTTGGAGAAAATCTGTATTGGTGGGGCTGGCTGCTTTTTCCACTTGCTTTTGCGTGGTAACTCCAGTTTAAGACAGCCTCTGGATCTGCAGTCTCTCTTCCTGTGAAAGGCCATTCTTGTGCCTGAACACTTCTTGAAAAGAGTTGGGCAACAGTTGGCTGGAGATTTTACCCTTCAGGTTACTTTGAACACATGGATTTTTTATCCTTTTGGAAATTGTTCATCCATTTTTAAATAGTTTTGTATCTGTAAGGTACCTGCTCTCGATTTGATTAAGGAGAACCTGGCCTTCCATAACGAAGTAATAGTTATGTTATTAAAGAGAAAGAGGGAAAGCATGCATGTGTACTGGTTCTTCGGCATCATTCTAATCTGGCCTGAGTTCTTTCTGGAAATAGAGTAATGCCGAAATATGGCAGGCCTTAGCTGTTTCTCCTCTGGCTCTTTTACTCTCATTCATAACCTTCTTTTAAGAGATAAGTGCTCACTGAAATAGTTTCAGAAATAATTTTCATGGTATTTCTCTGCTGTCATGTTTTAGGCATGCCAGGCATTTGAATATACAACAGGTGAGATTGGTAGGAACTGCATATAGCTGTCCCAGCAGTTTCCCCAATGAAGATAAATGTGTCACACATTGTTTAAAATTCAACTTTTAAGACCATGGAAAAACGGAAGTCAGACATTTAATGACGTAGATGCGGAATCCCAGGGTCCAAACTTTTGGCACTATATAAGTTTTAGAAGCTTGGGAAACTTGAACAGGAAACCTTACAATTAAAATTGAAAGTAAAAATTTGAAACTGCCCCTCCAAGGTGAAAACGGACAATTTCCCTCACCAACACTAGCTTCTCAGTTGTTATAGCCATGCTCTGTTGTCCAACCATAGTGAATGTAAAGCTGAGCAGGTTATGATAACGCTGGTATTTCTTGGACTTTGGTGAAGTAGTTGTGATTGTCATGTGAGAAAGTGGCTTCACAGTCAACTTTATTTTTTGTGAACATAAAGCAAGAGTTGAGAAAACTTGAAAAAGAACAACTGTTTCCTCCATTTTTCTTTTGGCTCCTTAAAATAGTTAATTTCTGCCTTTCTCTTCAGCATGACTGTAGAGAACGTAATTCTGCTTCATCCATTCAGCAAATTTTGTTATATTCCAGTCACTTTACAGCAGGTACGGGAAGAAAATAGCGACAAGATCAATGAAGGTTCCTTTTTTGTCTGCAGCTTAATTGAAATGCAGTCTCCACACTTCTAGGGATTAAAAAGAACAGGGGATCTTCATCGAGGTTTGTCTTCTTCCTCATCAATCTTTGGATGTTCATTACTATCTCCCAACTATTTCTGTAATGACTTACACCTAGTAAGTCCAGGCTTTCTGGAACTGATGGACTTTTATTTCATTTTTGTCATATTCTCTATCATCTCAAAATTGTCATATGTCAGGGTTTTTTTTATTTGTTCTGTTTCTGCTTTTTTTTGAATAAAATTATATTCCATGATAATTGGAGAATCACAGCCTTGATCATATGTGTGCTTGTGATACTTGGAAAGTCATAAAACACAGATTAGTCTTTCTTTTCTTTAGATGTATCTGTCCCCCAGTAAGCCAGTTTGTAACTGAGACTTAATTTGAAGCCCTGTTGTATTAACACTTCTCAAATCCAGATTTTAGGTATGCTAGTGGTCCATACAGCTCAGCAGTATTTACCTTCCTTCTATATTAAGAACCGGTATCTTGGACTTTCTTAGAGTTGCCGTACTTACTAGGCTGTAAGAACTAAATGTCGTAGTGAACTCTTGGTAACTCTCAGAAAGTAAATGATTGGTTCTTCACTTTATAGCAAATTAACACTTTAGAGTTGATGGTGGATAACTCATCCAATTTTTTCGCCAACAAGCTCCCTAGGCACCACATGAATAGAGCGTCCGTAGTAAAAAAGATCAGGACCTTAGCTGCCTAATTTGTTAATCACTTAATGTTTACCAACTAACTCAGTGTCCCTGAAGCACAGCAGCACCCCTTCTTCTGCAGAGCGGGGAGCTCTGTCTCGGCAGCTTGTGGTTGTGTGCTTGGGACAGTCAGCCACGCATTTCCCACACCCAGGCAGTCTTGGTTTTCCTTAGTTTCTTAGAAGTTCAAAAACAGACACGTTCTTGGGTTTTCATACCAACAGATGTTGTCTTGTTACAGGTGTTGTGTGTATGTGTGTTTGAAAGAATAATTGTGAATTCAGCCCCAACACAGCAGTTGAATTTTCCTCTTGGATCTCAGTCTCTAAAGAGACTGACATTTTCCAAGGTGCTCCGTGCCAGTTGCTGCTGTTTTTGACCTCAGACTGATAGGCTTTTACCAAGCCCGTGGGCCCCAGAAATGCCAGACAATATGCAGGTATTGCCAGGGTATCCCCCACAAGCTTTCCACCCGCAGCAGTTGCCCTTTATAGTGTTAACTTAGGACGGCACTTTGCTGGCGGGTGTGTTTTTAAGAGTGTCTGACAAAACATTGTGCCCACTGCGTCATCTGCCACCCCTTAAAATCCAGGAGCCCTAGAGTGTGCCGTCCATGATGGGGCTGCAGGCTCAGCAGTAGAGCTGTGGCTGCCTTTCTCTCTGGTCCCCTTGGCAATAGTAAGTCCTCAGGTATATCAAAACCAGTCTGGCACTTCGAGAACAAGATACTAAGGCGTCCTAGAGTACTCTCAGGAGATCAGTTTCAAGCGTGCTTTGTCCTGGGAGTCCTGCCATGTCCACCTTTTCACGGTGATTAATTTTTATAATGTATAATGTATATATCCCCCCCAAAGATACAGAGGTTTCTGTCTACAGTAAAAAGGAGTATACTGGAGAGACTTCACTGGAAAGATGACCTCGAGGCACTGAGTGGCCCTATGACTTGTCAGAACAAGTCAATATTATGGATTGCTTATTTTGAATTAGTTTACATAAAAATTAGTACAAAGGCGAAGTACCCAAATAAGATCTTTATCACCTCCAAAGGAGGAAAGACATTCCTGCCAATGCCTTGTCCCTGTATTGCCATTCCTATCCTTTATACACGTACCTCTGGCTGATGTCATCACCTCTGAGACCAGAGTTCAGTGTGCTGTTAGCAGGGGAGTTCATGCCACTGTTCCTATTTTCCCCACTACTGTTTGAACCTGAAAGTGAAACTTTCACTTGACTCCTCTGTCTCGTATTTCCAGGATCTCTTGCACTTTGGTCTTTTCATAGTTAAGGATTCCAGAAGGAAAAGTTGTGTATCAGGGAAAAAGTTTTAAAATGAAAGTGATAAAGAAATTATTCCTCACGTGTTTCATCTGCTTGCCTTGATAGAAAAACCAGGGGCAATCGCATGTATTTTTACTTAGAATGTCAGCTTAAAAAGTTCCAGTGAAAATGGGCATGTGTTACCTCTTAGTGAAGAAAGCAGCCCTCCAAAGATGTGGGTCTGTGCTTCATTTCCACGCCTCTTTGTGGACATCATTCTTAGATTCTACGGATTCAGTGTGATGTGTGGCTTCCCCTGGGGTCCCCTGAAACACATCTTCTTGAAGAACTGCCTTGCTTTGGTCATATGTGCCTTATCTTAGGGATAGACTGTTGGTCAGAGGTTGTTAACTCTGATAATTCCTTCTGGTCAGTCTTGTGACATTATATAGCTCAAGGATATGTGGCTAGGTTCACGTATGTGCCAAAGACAGAGAAAGCGGCCTCTTCTACAGTTTTGTAATGAACTGCACCCAGCCTAGGACCACTAATTGCCTAACATTTTTTTCTTTTGCTTGAACTCAGGGGCAGAGGCCTGGCCTCCAGGGGTTTGTCTTAAATATGTCGGGGGAGACCAATTTGGACATGTGAACATGGTGATGGTGAGATCGCTAGAGCCCCAAGAGATTGCAGATGTCAGCGTCCAGATGTGCAGCCCCAGCAGAGCAGGAATGTATCAGGGACAGTGGCGGATGTGCACTGCTACAGGACTCTACTATGGAGGTGAGTATGTCCTTGTGCAGCCCAGGGTGAAGGAATTAAGGTAACATCTTACAGCATTCCCAGTGTTGCTCACAGAGCCTGTCAAATTACATAACAAGGCGTGGCCTCTTTTAAACAGTCACCCCTAGCAGGTAAATGACTTGAATTTAATGACCATCTAATTGGTTCAGTCTAGTGCTCTCCCTTTTCCACTGGCAGTTTAAAGTTTAGTGAAGTGTGTGAGAGATCTGTATCTTGCATTCTGAACAGTGATTTAGTGGTGCTGCTCTTTTTATTACATAATCTAGTAGGTGCTGTAAGAATACTGAAGGCAGTCCTTGTTCTCAGAGTCTCTAGATGTAAGTCCTATAAAAAAAGAAAACGCACAAAATGTGCATACTTCTCCCAACCAGACAACCCGTCAACATCTCTCTCTCTCCTCTCCGTTGCCATACTTTTTGAGCAGAGTGAGCTACACTGCCTCTTCTTCCCTTTTTTCATTTGTTCTTCAACCCAGTTTATTCTTTACCCACTCTGGAGAAATGAAAATCAGAGACTACCAGTTTCCAAATCCAGCAGCCACTTAGTCTTCGTACTAACTGACCCTCTGTCATTGGGCATCATACTCCAAATGTGTTCTGAACTGTGTACCTTCCTAGACTCACATGAGAGCTGTCTTGTTTCTCCTCCTCTGAGTGATTTTTCCCTGTCTCTGTCTAGTCTCCTCTTTGCCCCGGGATTGCTAGATTCTGAGCTGGGTCCTGTCCATGCTCCGTGACCTCATCCATCCACATAGGTTCGGCTGTCACCAGTACAGTGCGTGGCAGTGTTCAAATTCGTATCTGTGGCTGCAAACTCTCTTCGGAGCTCCAAACCTGTGTTTGAACTGCTTATGGACAGAACATTTGGACATCCTGTAGATGTCTGAATCTTAATGTCTCCCAGGCAAAACTTAACATTCTTCTCATCAGGACCCCACTGAGGTGATCAGGCAGGAGCCTTGGAGTCATGTTTTGTTCAGTCTTAAAACTGTTCTTCATCACAAACCAGTTCCTGTTGGTTCCGCTATATCCCGTGTCCTGGTAATCCAAAGAAAAGTAAATAGTAAATAGTTCCTGCCTTGTGGGAACCCTTAACTGGACTCAAGGCCAGTGGGGCCTTTGGAGTGATTTCAAGGGGTCCTGGAATTAATGTTCTTCTATATGGTTTTTTTTTTTTTTTAAGATTTTATTTATTTATTTGAGAGAGAATGAGAGATAGAGAGCACGAGAGGGAAGAGGGTCAGAGGGAGAAGCAGACTACCTGCTGAGCAGGTAGCCCGATGTGGGACTCGATCCCGGGACTCCAGGATCATGACCTGAGCCGAAGGCAGTCGCTTAACCAACTGAGCCACCCAGGCGCCCTCTTCTATATGTTTTTGCAGCCAATGGAAACTTTGCATATTTTTATAGCCCTGAAAAATTTTAATGTTAGGAAGGGTGTCTCATAGTGCTTATCTGACATCATTCTTTGCCTAAAACCTTCGTGCCTACTGTACTGAAGCCCAATTCCTTGGCATGGGGCTTAAAGCTCCTCACGATCTGGCCTCGTTTTCACTTTTATCGTCAGTCTCCTCTTTACTCCCCCACAGCCAGTCCCCAAAGACACCACATGCCTTCACTTCACCATGCCTTTGCTTGTGTTGTTCCTATTGCCAGAAATATCTTTTCTTTCCAGTAAACTCCTGCTCATATTCAGGGCCATGATGAAGTCACCATTCCTCCTTCCCCTTTCCCTCCTTGCTTACTGTCCTCACGACCCCATGGAAATTTATCCCTCCTTTTTTCATTAATATTATGCACGGGCATATGTATTATACTTCACACTTTGTATTTTAGGTGTTTGTTTACTTACCCTTCTCTCCTGCTAGACTGTGAACTATTTGTTGAATGACAAACGAATGTGCAGTCATGTATCAGAATGCAGAAATGATTTGTCCCTTCCCTTCTGGACTCTCTTTTTCAGGCCACTTTTTTTTTTTTTAATTAATATATAATGTATTATTTGTTTCAGGAGCATAGGTCTGTGATTCATCAGGCTTATATAATACCCAGTGCTCATTACAGCACATACCCTCCCCAATGTCCATCACCCAGTTACCCTATCCCCCCATCCCTCTCCCCTGCAGCAACCCTCGGTTTGTTTCCTGAGATTGAGTCTCTTATTGTTTGTCTCCCTCTCTGATTTTGTCTTGTTTCATTTTTTTTCTCTCTTTCCCTATGATCCTCTGCCTTGTTTCTTAAATTCCACATATTAGTGAGATCATATGACACTTGTCTTTCTCTTGATTGACTTATTTCGCTTAGCATAATACCCTCTAGTTCCATCCACAGTCTTCTTGCAAATGGCAAGATTTCATCCTTTCTGATGGCTGAGGAATAGTCCATTGTCTATATATACCACATCTTCTTTATCCATTCATCTGTCGATGGACATCTGGGCTCTTTCCATAGTTTGGCTATTGTGGACATTGCTGCTATAAACATTGGGGTGCAGGTGCCCCTTCGGATCACTGCATTTGCATCTTTGGTGTAAATATCCACTAGTGCAATTGCTGCATCGTATGGTAGCTCTATTTTCAACTTTGTGAGGAACCCCCATACTGTTTTCCAGAACAGGCCTCTCCTTCTAATAACTTTTGTATCTGCACAGTTGAAAGTACAGTTGACCCTGAACAACATGGGGGGTTAAGGGTGCTGCACAGTTGAAAATCCATGTATAACCTTTGACTCCCCAAAAACTTTACTAATAGCCTTGTTGACCAGAAACCTTACCAATAACATTAACAGTTAATTAACGCATATTTTGTAGTTATATGTTTTATATACTGTGTTCTTACAGTAAAGTAAGCTAGAGAAAAAATGTTATTCAGAAAATTGAGAGAAAATACATTTACAGTACTGTCTTGTATTTATTAAAAAAAAAAGAAATCCACATACAAGTGGACCTGTGAAGTTCAACAAACTCACGTTGTTATTTCCACTGCTGAGCTCCCATTGCATTTTCTCTGCACCTCTCACTCCCTTGCCTCTCTTTGGCACCTTACCTCTTTCTACCCAGTTATTTGACGAATGCCTGATATACCTTTAAAACTTAAGGTGATACATGTCTTGTTTATCTTTGTAACTTCAAAAAGCTGAGCCCAGTGAAAAGTGGAGATTTTTTAAAATGAATGTCAGTGTTTTTAAGGTAGGGGCATGACCACATACGTGACTTAAAAAAAAAATCCCTTTGATGCAAAGATACTGCTTCTTACTGTTTTCTAGAGTTTGAGAGCTCTGGTCACGTGCACGCGCACGTGTGTGTGTGTGTGTGTTTCAATGTTAAGATAAATATAATTATCACTATGTGGGCCATTAAAATTTATACTTGTAACATCCCCCTCCAAGTCTAGAAGTAGGTAGAGTATAAAATATACTAGCTTTGGAGGCAATAAAGAATTTAAAGCCTTTCTTGGTTATATAATCTGTGAGTTGTTTCTCAGGATTTTGTGAAATCTAACACCTTCAAGAGATCTTAATAATTGATCTAGTTCCATGATTTTCTAAGCATTTTTTTTTAAATCAGTAGAAACCTTTCCTTTCTAAGAGCATATATGAATGCCCCCTCAAAAAAAGGGAAAACCTAAAAATGAAACCGGTTTTGTTGAATTGGAAGCCTCCTTAACCTGTGTTGCCTGCTCTGATGACCTCTAGTGCTGTGTGGTGCAGTTTGCAAACAGTTCATCTTCTCTAGTAAAGAATTCAATTCCATTGTACAAACTACTAATTTCATTGAATCCAGATTACTCTTGATGATAACACATCCTGATAGCAGAGATGGTAAACTGCTGGCAGAATGTGAATATAGTATACATAAAACCACAACTGTGAACATGTAAAAGAAAATAAGCTGCCTTGTTAACTGTGATTGGCTCTTCTCAGTTTTTCTATGAAGTCTCACCTTGCAAGCTCATAAAGTGTGGTGTAGTGGGAAGAGTTTGGAAAGTAGGCTTAGGTTGCCTGGGCACAAATTTGGACAAGTTAGGTAACTACTCTGTGTCTCACCTTTCTGTCTTAACAACAAAGCTTGTTTGTTTTGTTTTTGGTGGGTGGTCTCCTCTACAGTCTTTAGATGGTCTTCTGTAGAAAGAATAATTTTCTTTATTTTTACACTTATGTTTCAATTCATTTCTGTTCCTCAAAAGGAATTTTTGCTTTATTTAATAATTTATAAAGTTGGTCCCCTTCCCCCATTTTAAATTGGTTGTGCCTCTCAGAATATCTCAAGAGAAGTGCTCTTGGCGTCTTGTGTGGACAGTTCTCCATTATGTGGGGCATGTGTATATGACCCTTGGCCCTCTCTCACTAAATACTTTAGCTTCCATATTCATCTTTACTGGCAACCTTCTTCTTCCACCACACATGTTTCTAACCACCTGGGTTAAATACCACTAAGTATCTGATTCCTGGCAGATTTATTTTCAAGCCCGAACATTTTCTTTTATCTTCTTTTTATAGACTTTTCCTTCTTAGGTAAAAGCTACCTGTTATCTAATATCTGCTGTATGTCAGGCACTGTATTGGTCTTTGTACATATAAATTACCTTTTATAAAGGAAGTATTGGCTACATTTTATGGATGAGGAAACTGAAGACCAGAGATAATAATTTGTCTAGGGTTCAGTAAAAGTTATAAATTAGTTATAAATTATTATAAATTAAGAAAAGTAGTTTTATGACCTTTGTGATTAATTTGGTCCTCACTACTACATGGGGCTTACAAGGAAACTTTGGCTCCAGGGTATGGATACTTGTCAAGGCTTAGGGAGGATAGGGTATATAGTCCCCAGGTCTTCTCTACATTTCCATAGTAAGTTAGGAATGAAGTGGGGTTAATATTGGTGAGGCGACTCTTAGATAGTTGGGTAAATATCAGTGTTCCGCAAGGAGTTCCTGCCTGCTCAGAGATGCACACTTTGTAAGAAAACTTAGGACACTTGAC